TACTACTACTGACAGCAACGGGGGAAACTTTCTCTGCATTTCCCCATCTCTGTGAACCCAATTCACCTCGATGATATAAAACGATCAAAGGACGGGTCATATCAAAGGTCAGAATATGATAAGGACGATAACATGACTATTTACGATCGAGCTTGAGTTATGTCTATTATTCTCGGTAGAAAATGGAAGCCTTTTTTTTTTTAATCGCGAGGGAAGACATTCTTATGCGTTTGGGGAGGAGAAAAAGGGGGGGGGGAGGAAGAGAAGAGAGAGATGGAGGGATGCCGAGAAGGGAAGGAGGAATGGGAGGAAAGGAAGAAGGAAGAGAGGGAGAGAGGGAGGGAAGACGCAAGAGAGGGAGAGAGGGAGGGAAGAAGGAAGAGAGGGAGAGAGGGAGGGAAGACGCAAGAGAGGGAGAGAGGGAGGGAAGAAGGAAGTGAGGGAGAGAGGGAAGGAGTTGCAAGGGTAAGAAGAATAAGGAAGGGAAGAGGGGAAGAAGAGGGGAAGGAGTTTGGAGGTAGGGAAAGAAGGAAGGGAGGGAAGGAGAGGGAGAGGGAAGGAGGGAGGAGGTGAGTAAGAAGGAGGTAGAGAGAGAGAGAGAGAGAGAGAGAGAGAGAGAGAGAGAGAGAGAGAGAGAGAGAGAGAGAGAGAGAGAGAGAGAGAGAGAGAGAGAGAGAGAAAAGAGAAAGAGAAAAGAGAAAGAGAAAACAAAGAAAAACATCGACAAAAAATAAACCAAAAAAAGGAAAGCAATACATAATAACACCAAAAGACACACACAAAAAAAACATAAATTTCTAAAAAAAAAATAATAATAATAATTAATTAATAAAAAATAAAAGCAAAAACACACAAGAAAGAGAATGCTTCACGTCTCCAATGAGCTTTAAGGAAGAAATTCGAGCGGCTAGCGAGGTGGACGGAGAAATCGAGAGCCAATTCCACCTGGGGGGGGGGGGGGGTCTCGGAGGAAGAGGAGGGAGGGAGGAGAAGTGGAGGGAGGGAGGGAAAATAGGGCGGGTATGTGGTGGAAAGGGGAGAGGGGAGATAGAGGAAGTGAGGTATATAAATATATATGTATATATATTATATAGATATATATATATATATATATGATATATTATATATATATGTGTATATATATATATTATATTATTTATATATATTATATATATTAGTATATATATATATGATATATATATAATATACATGTATATATATATATATATATATATAGACATGTATATATATATGTATATATATGTATCATATATTATATATATTATATATATATATTATATATATATATTATATATATATATATCTATCTATAATATATATATCTTTATATCTATATATATATCTGCCGCGATAGCTCATGGTTAGAAGTACTGGACTCCGACCCTTCGTGGTCCCGTTCATTCCCCGTCGCGGCGTTGTAAAAAATGCCCTTACGCTCTGACTACTTACTCGAGCCCGAGAAAACGTACATATCGGCTTGAGATCAGACTCAGGTGTCGTAGTGGAAGTCACCGCCGTGGCACAAGTGTGTGAACGCTGCCGGAACCGCGGTTGATTAGAAGGGCATTCAATCAGCAAGGGTGAACTGCATATAACCCTCAATACTGAATTGAGAAGGCCTATGTCCTGCGTGGAATGAATGCTGTTCTGTTAAAAAAAAAAAAAAAAAAAAAAAAAAAAAGAGGGATGGAGGGAAAATAGACGGGTATGTGTTTGAAAGGGAGGAGGGGAATAGAGGAAGCGAGTTATAAATTGTATGTAATAATATATAATATATCGTATATTATATATATAATATTATATATATATATATATATATATCAGTATATAACGATATATATATATATATATAGTACTGCGTGGTGTGTGTTTTTGCGTGCGTGCGTGCATGTGTGTGTGTGTTTGTCCGCGTGTGTCTACTACTGCTCCTACTAATGAAAATAAAAATATTGAAATGTTGTCGGTTGCGTGATCGGGAAATAAAGGTGCGTGAGAAAGGTGTGGATGATTATGGGCGTCTTTCTGTATGTATATATGTGCTGTATTTTCTGTGTGTACATCAGTTCACCAACCTGTTATTTTTCAATCTGTCTGATTGTTTATCTGCTTAGTTGTTTACCTGTCTATTTTTCATCGCAAAAAAAGCAAACACATACGCACACAAAGAGTGGAACACACAGACACACACACACACACACACACACACACACACACACACACACACACACACACACACACACACACACACACACACATATATATATATAAAGTTGTTTCACACGTACACACGCACACACACGCACACACACATACACACACACAAGCACACACATACACTCACACACACATACACACACACACGAACACATACACACACAAGTACCCCTCTCCACACACACCTACATGCACATACCCCCCCCCCCTCCCTCCCCCACACACACGCACATACGCACGCACACAGAAATTCATCACGGGAAGTAGGTTTCACAATTATTCAAAACTGCGACGCCTTATGGCACTTGGCGCCATTCCACCTCAGTGCCAACGACCGCACCCCCCTCCCCCCCATCGGAATTATTCCTTCCTAGTATCTTAGCTACTTTTCTCTTCTACTTTCTTCTTCTTCTTCTTCTTCTTCTTCTTCTTTATTGTCGTCTTCCTCATCTTCTTCGTCTTTTTCTTAGTCTTTTCCTTCTTGTTCTTCTCTTCTTATTGTTCTAATTATTTTCCTTTTTCTTCTTTTTCTTTTTCTTTTTTTCCTGTTATCTCTCCATCTTCCCACTCCTCCTCTATTGTCTTCTTATTCTTTTTTTCCTCTTCCTTTTCTTTATTCCCTTTTTCCACCTTCTTCTCCTCCTCCTACTTTTTCACTTTCTAAACCTCCTCCTTTTTCACTTTCTTCTTTCTCTCTTTTCTTTCTTCTTCTTCTTCTGTTCTTTCTCTCGTTTTAGTTTGGCGTGTCATTATGTTTTCTGACTATCTGTCTGCCTGCTTCCGTCTCTCTGTCTGTCAGACAAAGAGACAAAAGGTCTATTTGTCTGTGTGTGTGTGTGCCTGTGTGTCTGTCTGTTTGTTTGTCTGTCTGTCTGTCTGTCTGTCTGTCTGTCCGTCTGTCTGTCTGTCTGTCTGTCTGTCTGTCTGTCTGTCTGTCTGTCTGTCTGTCTGTCCGTCTGTCTGTCTGTCTGTCTGTCTGTCTGTCTGTCTGTCTGTCTCTCTCTCTCTCTCTCTCTCTCTCTCTCTCTCTCTCTCTCTCTCTCTCTCTCTCTCCCTCCCTTCCTTCCTTCTTCTCTCTCTCCCTTCCTTCCTCTCTCTAACCTTTCATTCTAGGAGAGTAACAGGTAAATTCCTAGATTATTAAACAGCTATATTCTTTTCTCCCAAAAGTCTGCGAAGGGGAAAAGCCAAATAAACAAACAAAGAAAAAAAGAAAAAAACAAATTTACTTTTTTTCCCTTCACGTGCGAAAGATTTAATTAATTATCCTTTTTTTTTTTTTTTTTTTTCATTTTACTTTTCCTTTAGATATTTCGCTTCCAGTAGTAACGGCCCCTTTTGCCACTTTATTACGGTAATAAGTGGCAGCTTATGTTGAGCTGCCTCTTTGCCCCTTCCCCTCGCCTCCTTTACCCCTCCCCTCCCCTCCACTTTCCTCTCCTCCCCTGTCCTCCCTATTCCTCGCCTCCTCTCTCCCTCCTCCCCCCTCCCCTCCCCTTTCCTCCCCTCCCCCCTTTCCTCCCCTCCCCTCCTCCCCTCCCCTTCCCTACTCTCCCTTCCTCCCCTCCCCTCCCCTCCCCTTTCCTCCTCTCCCCTCCTCGCCTCCCCTTCCCTACTCTCCCTTCCTCCCCTCCCCTTTCCTCCTCTCCCCTCCTCCTCTCCCCTTTCCTCCTCCCCTCCCCTTTCCTCCTCTCCCCTCCTCCCCTCCTCTTTCCTCCTTTCCTCTTCCCCCCTCCTCCCCTCCCCTTTCCCCCACTCCCCTCCTCCCCTCCCTTCCAACACCCCTCCCCTAAAACGCGGCAACAACGATGCAACTTTCGCTTCTGGTTAATGGTGCGAGGGCAATGGCTTGAGGGGCAGGGAAGCTTGGACTTACGACAGGGATAGAGTGGGTTCAGGTAGGGGGGGTGGGCAGGGTGCAGGTAGGGAGGGTGCCTGTCTGTATCTCTAATTGCCTGGTAATTCTTGCCTCTAATGGATTTAAAACTACATAAATCGACTTAGCAGATGTATCGACAAAAGCAGACTTGGAGGAAAAAGAAATAGTAAGAGAAAGAGAGAGGGAAAGAAAGAGAGAGAGAGACAAAAAAGCAAGGAAGAGAGAGAGAGAGAGAGAGAGATTTTTATTTGATAACATTTATTTACAACACAGTACACATGTCCTGCACAGTTTGCAGCGGTGATATGAAACTGGCTTTTCCTCTAAAGCTGCATCTCGAAGACAGGTGATAACACGAGAGAGAGAGAGACAAATTGACAAACGGAGAGACAGACAGAGACAGTCAAACGTACAGAAACAATCTAAGACACAAACACACACACTTTACATAGGATTGATGTTTCTTTCTTTGATTTTTTTTCCTTTTTTTCTTTCTTTCTTTCTTTCAATTATTTTTTTTCTTTATTTATTTGTGTCTCTCTTTCTTTCTCTTTTTTTCTTGCTTATTACTGTTTCTTCTGCCGGTAAAAATGGTGCTTTTGCTCTCACTGCTCTCTCTTTTCCTTAGGTGTGACGGTATTGTTTAGAAGAAACAAATATAGATATTCTGAGGATTTTGGAAAATGACTTCTAACAAAAGAGAGGGATTGAGAACATAATGCGAACAGTTCAACACGGATTTTAAAATTTCATTGTTACGCTCTCTTCCTCATCATCACTTCCAAAACTTCATCACTCATCATCCCTCTCTCCCTCCCTTTTCCCTGCAGACTTCTGCACTGCAATATTGCAAGACCCATTAACAACTTTTTTTTTCTTCTTCCAG